TTCTTTTTTCAATTTACTATATAAAGTTATATTAATAACATTTAATTTTCAATGTAAAATTTACTTTGTTCAGTAGGTATACTATAACGTGGTATACTGATGCTTCGAAAACCAAAACAGGTACAGGGGTATTAGGGCCGAAAACTAAATACTTCGAACCAATAGGAACATTTCAAGCATTCTTCCTAACTACATACAACCAAACTTATATGAAATCACTCTTTATTTCTGGCTAAATTTCTTGTAAGGAAAAAAATTGGTATACAACTTTAAGATAAGGCTTTTGTTGTAAATAAACATGATAATAAAGAATACACGACTGCTGCGATTTATTCTCTTTTGAATTTTATGTTCAAGTAAAACCACGATTGTCCGGTAATTTTCATTCGATCCAAAAAAATAAAAAAATGTCTTGTTTTGGATTAACAGATGTTCAGAGGGGGAGAATTATTGCTCTCATTGAAGCAGAAAAGAATGTTACCCATGGTATTGTATCGAAAACATATGCAAGGAACTTAGGGACACACAAGAACAGACTCAGACAAAATCGTCAAAGAGTCACAACTGAACAACAACACCGCCTTGTGTGCTAAATTGCTAGAAGAAATCCCAATGTTTCTCATCCAGAGCTACAAAGACAACTTCTGGCAGCTACAGATGTGAACGTTTCAGTTGAAACCATAAGAAAAAGGCTTCGTGCTCGAGGGTTTTACAGCAGGAGAAACGAATCCCACAGTTATCTCGGCAAAATTAAATTGACCGGCTAAATTGATGCCTTCAGCACCAAAACTGGACAACTGAGAATTAGCAAAATGTTCTTTTTTCGGATGACACCAGAACTGGCCTAAGATGACCATTGAATTCGGGTTCTCAGAGTTCCAAAAAGAGGCTACGAAATCTGTACCAAGATATAAAGGACGAACTGTAATGTTCTGGGGAGATATTATGCTGGGAGCAAAAACTCCATCGTTACCACTTCAACAAACTCTAACGGATCGGAGGTATGTTGATTTAGTGCTAAAACCAATCGTTAGCCTTTGGAGAGCTTCAATTGGGGATAATTTTAACTTCACGCACGATTGTGCACCTCCCCATACCAGCAGAGTGACTAGAGAATGTTTTGAAACGGAAGGTGTCATAGTTTTGAACTGTGTCATAGGATTTTCGTTGATTTAAGTAAATGAAGAATGTGAAGAGTACAGGGGAAAAACTTGATAAGTGCCAATTTCTTAATTTTAGGATATTATACAATCTTATACTTAGTAGGTCTAAATAGTCCTATGATCTAAATCTATAATAATCTATGTGCTAAATCCTATGATATATGCCTAGTAAAAATCTAGAATACAAACCAGCCGCCCGGTGCTCTCCTGTAAAATCAGTGAAATGGCACTTATCACTTTCCCCTGGACTCTTCCTATACAATGTACTTTACTCAGTTCTACATTCTACATGTAGAAAAAGGGATACCTGTAGTTCATCAAAAATTAAAATTGCTTTCCCCCACCCTAAAATAAAAATGAAGAAAATCAGCCGGGGAAAAATTAAAATTAACTTTTTCCCATACCTAAATCTTCTGAAATAACTCAACTCGCTTATACAAAAAAAGCGGGGCGCAAGTAAGCCGATCCGGCTCCGAAAATATTCGGAAAGTTTTTAATAAAAATATGGCCCAAAATCGAAATATGTAAACAATGCGAGCGAGTTTTCATAAGGCGGGCGCGTTTTTTTCCCGAGCGCGCCCGAACGGTATGCTCGGAATGCCTCGCCGAACGCTGGAATCCTTTAACGAACTAATTTAATTTTTGTGATATTGCATTCCGCGTTCGGGCCCTCGAATATCTCACCCTTCGACCATAAGGATATGGACTAGAGGGACAATCAGCTATCCTTGCTTCAAAGAGACCTAAAACGGGTCCTGACCTGAGTGTTGCATTTCCACAAGTTCTCAAATCCAGTATATACTCTGTTTTTTTTTCTCAGGTAAGATTTCGAGAAGAAACGCAGATGACGTCCCATACCAATCTATTTATTTTACTAAAAAAAGTTTCTAATATTTTTAAGTTAACTATGGATGGGTTTAAATATAAATCCGTCATACGTCGTCTCTTGTTGTTTTTAACCAGTTTTATTGGTTTATTTCAAAAATGACAGATCATATTTCAATTTTATTGGTTTGACGGAACGATGGGCGACAAACGGACGCCGCCGCCGATGCGTATGAACTCGCCTTTAGATTTTTGAGGCTTGTCAAAGTCTTGCCAAATTATAGGTTATAATTTTGTGTCAACTTATGTCAAATATCTGCGGTTTGGAAGATGATGCATTTTTATTCGTGTTATTACGTGTGTTTTGTGTCTTTTGAAGTCAAGTGAAGGAAAAATCGAGGGAAAATTAACTATAGACCCAGAGCACAGTTTATAGTTAATACTCGCTGCCCAGGCAGAAAGGGCTCTGGTGCACAATAGGTCCCCACGCATGTAACACTTTTTTGGAATTTTTTGCAAGATTATCTTAAATTGAACATTTTTAAGCATAGAAATTGTTGGATGAATGTGTTTTATCTTTAAGAAACGGCAAAAAAACGTATTTTAGGTACAGGCGACGGACAGTAAATATGTAAAATTTTCTACACGGATTCAGTAAAAACGTCACGTATTAGCACTTTATTACCTTATATAGACGTGGAATGACCTAATTTAAGCACAAAAATGTAACGAATCTTCTTGGTAAGCATAAAAATTAAGAAAATATATTTATTTACATCATCTCAAGCCAGCAATTTTACGACTTTTTCGATTGACAGTTAATCGATCATCGGTATGTCATCTATGACCTTCGCATAGAATTTGCGACGTTGTCAATAAAATTATTTTATATGATTTTCTTCTGAAATAAAGTTGACGTTGTGGAGGGACTTAAAACGGTAAGTTATCACTTTAGTGCAACAAAAATTGAACGCTGTCTAGTAGCTTATTCGTTAGTGTGGATTATTTTAAAGCAATTTCTGAAATAAAATTTGCGGATTTTTCAGGTTCTAGGAAAATATAAGTTTTTTAAATATATACTATTTTTCGACGCGTAATCAATGAAGTTTTGTCATTAGGCACAATTAGGTTAGCCTGGTTATTTGAGGGGTGGTAATGCATTGGTTAGCCTGGTTATTTGGAGGGTTTTTATTGTTATTTGAACAAAGGTATTAAGGTAATTCATTTTTAGGATAGGTATACTATAGTTAAGTAGAATAATTTTTAAAATTCATTATGTGTTTTTATAGTTAGACGTAGATAAAATATTGTAAAATACACGCGAATTAACTCCATTAAGATACTTTTGTGCGTATCTTAATGATGCTGTTAACTCACTTGTATCTTAAATATCTATTCTAGTATCCAAAATTGAAAAGTCGTCGACATAGAAACCTAAAGAAAAATATTGAAACCAATTTATGTTGGCTATTGGTGTCTGTTCAATAAACCGGTGTCTATATATGGTATACTCTAAGATTTTCGATGGCCGTTTATATCTTTCTGAGGCATCGGCGTTTCCCTTCGCTCGAGAAATGCCTTAAAACGCCTGGAATTCTACAGATTATGAAAAGCGATATCAACGAAATTATCAACCACCGAGCCTCTCTGATTGATGTCCCAAGTCCAACTGAAAAATTCATTCCCGATCCTAGGGAATCAATCCTCTAACAAATTAAAAGGACCACTTTGGTTCGTGTGGAACTGACCATATTAAGAGAAAAAATGAAAAAAAAATTAGAATCAATACACTATTTTGAAAATAATCAGAATGGTTTCAAAGATAAAGTTGTAATGGGTCTACTAACAAAGCATTGTACGGATGAATTTCTGTCTCTGGAACTTTTATGGGATGATTTTCCATAATGTGCTTCTTAATATTCGTTCAAATCAATCAAGGATATACTTATTAAGAGAATGACTTTTTTTATAATCGCTATATCTAGCTAAATAAACTAATGTTATTTAAAAAAACTTAAGCTAAAGTAGATATACCGGGTGCGTAATATATGCGTGGCTCACCCTTATAACTTTTTTATATTTTTCAGTTAAAAAAACGAGATTTGGTATATGACATAAATTAGGATTGATTGACGTATTCAGTTATTTTCGGTCACTTCCTGTTTCACCGAAAATGACTACAAATTTTGATTTTTAAATGGCACCCTCGGTATTTTTTTTACTTTATTCGATATAAACTGACACTCTGAATAGAATGACATATCATATGTCAATTTTTGAAATTTCCGCATATGGTTTATTTGAAATTAAAACTTGCGGTTCGTAACGAAAATTTGACTTGAAATACCAAGTGTGTGGTATCAACTTATTCGTAAAAAAATGCTTTTTCCAAATATGCTAATGAGCCACCCTCGTTCCATTTGAAAAAATAGAGATATGATTTAAAATACGATTTGAGCATTTTCCAACTGGCCAGGACAAGGCACTAAAAACATTAGACGATAAAATCTATTTTTCGAAGGCTCCTTGATTAAGAATTAGTGTTTTTAACATAACCATGGCACTCTAGATTGAATTTTAAAAAACGATTTTGTTTTAAGCGAAAAAGTCAAAAATTTACATATTAGAGGTATGTCATTCTATTCAGAATGTCATTTTCTATCGAATAAAGTAAAAAAATACCGAGGGTGCCATTTAAAAATCAAAAGTTGTAGTAATTTCGGGTGAAACAGGAAGTGACTAAAAGCAATTGAATACGTCAATCAAGCCTAATTTACGTCATATACTAACATACCAAAACTCGTTTTTTTATCTGAAAAAATAAAAAAGTTATAGGGGCGAGCCACTTTTGAAACGCACTCGGTATAGACTTGCAAAAGTCTTGCAGCAAGGCCAAGACCAAGACTACTTATTAACTGCAAGACCAAGACCAAGAGAATATTGGTCTTAGTCTTACATTTTCTCATCACTAGTCAAGTGATATTCTAAAATTCTAAAATTATACTATATGTGTCTTATTTGTAACAATATCATTTTAATAAAATTGTTTACAAAACAACAAAAATTTACAAAATAATAACAAATGCATATAAATATTCAAACAAATCAACAACAACATTAACACAATTAAACATATTAACATTAATTTACAAATACCTTAAAGTAAGTAAAAGCTTATTTAATACCTACTAAAATACTAAAATGTCTTAATAAAGCAATAATAATTATTCCGTCAATTATTTTTTAACTAGAATTGATGTTTTTATATTTTTTCTTCTTTATAATTAAACTAATAAATATTACATTCATACTAAGGGCGTTATAAAAAATGTGACATTTAAAAATAATAAGTTAGTTTAGTATTCTAGAAGCTTCATTAACTCACAGTCCTAACCTAACCTAACCTAATTTATTCCACTACCTGCGAGATTCTGAATGACGCTTAAACATGTTAAAAATATAAATCAGTCTCAATACTAATTACAAATACATATACATAATTTTATAGCTATTCACTAACTAAAATTAGTTAATCGATCAGGCCTTGCAACTTTAAATTATCCTCCAATAAATTATAGAACTCTAACTGACCGGCATCATTCAAACTCAACACTTTGGCAAATATTTTTTCAACAGTGAAACTCCTTATAAAACTAATAATATAAACATTGACAAATGTTGCCATAAGATACTGACAGTCAAATCTATCCATCACACCTCCGTGTCCAGGGATACTATCACCAAAATCCTTCATATTGAAGGCTCTTTTAAATCCCGAAGCACAAAAACCCCCAAACGGAGCTATTAGAGAAGCAAAAAGTGCCAAGAATTGTACATGAAGCAAAAATGGATAAAAGCATACTGAAAAAAACTTAAAATCTATAGTAATAGGCTGAAAAATATCACTTGGGGTGCATTTGGTAATCATGTTTATACTATTTCCTATATCTACAAACTTCGTTGGGCATAGCAAGTATTCGAAATGGCACAAAATATAAGCCAGGAGAGTTCCTAAAATTACAGTACTGGCAACACCTCCGAAAAACCCTTCCAAGGTTTTCTTAGGCGATAATTTGATTAAAGGAGTTTTTCCGTAGAGTTTTCCAAAAATATAAGAGAATATATCGTTCAAAAATACCAAAGAGATTGGCAGAACCAACCAAATTATTCCTTCGAACATGTTTTGAACAACCATATAACTTTGAAGTACTATAATTATGCCTAGAAAATGAGTCCAAGCTAGTAGGGTGAATTGCTGTCTAATAACCTTCTTTCTGAGCAAGTTAAGAAACCAAATTAGACCTACCATATATAAACAAAACGTCAGAAACCTGTGGTAAGCAAAAAAGCTTTCTAGTATATGATATTTCTTGATGTATGTGTCCAAGTACTGCGAGAAAGCTTCTCCAAAAAAGAAATAATTAAGAACAAACAAAAAATACCAGTTTAGTGTTCTGAATAACGGTATTTCAGGAAGCTTTTTGTAGTTATATGCTATGGTGATGATTTCTTGGAAACATTTCACTTGGATGGCTAGTGTAGCAACTAGTAAAGCTGGTACCCCGATATATATTACTACTATGAATCCTAGTATGAGCACTGTGGCTGTTACAGTACGCTGGACCCAGTTTTTCTTGATTACAGCTTCTGGTTTTGATGAGGTCATGATGATCGTGAATGTGTTGTCTAAAAAATAAATTTGAGAAAAATTAAAATGTTTTTTGTAGTAAAAAATTACAATTTTAGAAGTGTTGGCTTTAGTACTACGATATTGAAAAATTATGCCAACTAGCAATAAAAGGTCTAAATATAATAATTTTGTGAAGCACAAGATTAGAAATGAATAATCTATTAGCAAATAAATAAATAAGCACACATATAAATACCTAAAAATATATTAACTGCAAAAAACTCACCTTATTTTACCAACTGACTAGTAGTGCTAGTGACATTTTTGACAAAACCCACATTTCCTGTGACACTTTCAAAATAGTACTGGTCTATTTTCTAGCTCATTCCGTTCTCAACGCATTGTTAAATCTGATGTATTAACCTTATTAACACGGTTACGTATCCACGACGAATTCAAGGGCGACGTAGGAGTATTCCTACACTGTGTTTTGTTTGTAAATAAACAGCGACAACAAACAAATTACACTGTTTCTAATGTGTTTTACCTGTTCAGGTGCATAAATACAAGCTGATTATATGCGCTAAGGAACTATTTGTGGCACTTGGCTGACGAGGGAATAGATAAGGCAATATTAAGATTAGTTTTTTTTATATAACTATGTGGTTAAATAAAGATAACATTTAGGACATCATTTTGAAATTAAAGTGATGATTCAGATACTAATTAAACACCAAATAATGTTTTCATCTTAAAGTTGCTTGTAATTTTAAGTTAGCAACACACTTACGGTTTTTCTTCAAGGCAAAACTGCGAAGTTCGGGCTTCTTTCTATCTACCGACGATTATCCTTTGGTGATAATTGATTGGTTTGTCATCAGCTGATGCTCTAGACTTCAGTCTTTGAATTACTTATTGTATTTTTTGTAGGAACTTCTCAGGTCATTTATTTTTTTAATGACAGCATCTTTTTTAGCATTAGGTTCAATCTTGTATCTGGTATCTTTTTTCCTGTCTGCATTCCTTTCACTCTCTGTGCCAAAAGCAAGGCTTACTTTTGAATCTTTTTATGAAGTCTTTTCCACAAATTGACTTGTTTCGTTTTGTGGCGAACAGTTCTAAACAGCTACGCTCAATAGTGTCTCGAATAGGACCATCAAGGTCTTGTACACTACAGTTCTTCAAGGTACTGTTCAACATGCATGTTGAAGAATATCCCACAGCTTGAACTGAGCAATGTGTGGCTAACCTTTAGATATATTTTCTAGTACATCGCTAATAAAACTGTAATTATCTAATGCAATAAAAATTATATTTATTGCACGATATAGTTCGTCCAACGTTACTTGAATATTTTCTATCTAGAACAAAAAAAAGTATTCTTTGTTATAGCACCATAGAAAGATTCTGGACCTATAAATAATACAAAGATAAACCTTCTTTGCCAGACTTAAGCATGATTTTTATGCATCCGTTGTCCGACGATACTATCTACTATTTTATCTACTATTTTTGATAGATATAAGGCAATTTTAAAATAAACAAATTTAAAATTCGTTTTTAGTGCGGACCTGTCCTAAAAAACGATCTTCCCAGGTATTCGTACCGAAGGATTCAACGGCCCGGTTCCTTTTTGTACTTTTTCTAATAACTCCCCAGAGCAGCAAAAATTACAATGTTGGCATGCCTGAGTGGATGTCAATAATGACGAAAGACGGAATGCAGAGGGCGGGATGATGCACCTTTGGGCGGATGTTCAGAACGGACTCCTACGATTTGAGGGGGGTTTTGGTGGGGGGAAGAATTGACTGACTCTCTTCTTTCGGACTGTGAGAAAGAGGCAGGAGTTAAAAATATGAAGAGAACTTATGTGAAGGGTAATAAGCAATTATAAGCGGCCGGTGTAGGATTTTACGAGTCTGGTGGGAGTCACACTACATAGTCTGCGGGTAATTTATTTTCTATAGTTAATAACTAAAATATATCTATTTCGAAGAATGATGTAGTATTTTGTTATAAATTGGACCTTTAAATTTGAAAAATTTGTTCGTTTTGTTTTACGTTGTCCATAAATATTAATGACAAAAATGTCAGATACGCAACTGAAGAACCTAAGTTTTTAAAGCGAAAAATGCGAAAATGCAAGAAAAAATATACAGGGTGGTCCGAACTGTATTCCGGAAACTTCGGCAGCATATTCTGCAGATAAAAAAGGTAAAAAAGTTCGTATACTTACTTATACATATGTATTGACTATTTCCATTCTAAATATCTTTAGAACGGTTGCTCGCAGCAATTCTTACCAAGAGACATTTTTTACGTAAAAAATCACAGAAATGTATATTTTTCACTCAGTAGTTTTATACAGGTACGGACAAAAAAAGCTCTTACTTTTCAAAACAGTTAAAACACATGTAGGTGGCGCCCCTTACAAATACGCCCAAGTAGCATTTGGACGTTATCTAACGTCGGGTATTCGTCGCGTTCAATAAACCCGACGTCGGGTACCAACGTCGGTTCGACCGCCTGACGACCCTTATTTGCACCTAAATGGGGAATACAGATTCGGGTCGCCTCGACGTCAGTATCTGACCTAATAAGGAATGTAATTCTACCAATTACCAACGTCATATTACGTTGGATTTCAGTTAATTAAAATTCGTCGCTAAGCACTTACGTTACGTTTGGTTTCAAATTCGCTACCAAGAAACTACCTAATTACAAATGGATTCATAATCACTCCTCGAATATAACTATAAGTGCTTATATCAAATTTCTCATTTCAAAAAACTCACAGGTACCAAATTTCATCCAAATATTGACGTTACTTCAGAAATTATTTGAAAAAAATCGAAATAAAAATAAAACTTCTTATCATAAAATAAAATAAACTAAAAAGTTAAAAAAAAAATAAAATAAACTTTAGCTGAAGCACAGCCAAATCTGCAGAATATCAAATCAAATTCAAATTAAAAACTTGTCCACCCCGTATTTTAATTTAACTCTCGACTTGATGTCCAACACCAAAACGGAGCGTTTCCATATGGTTTTTTGCTGGCAAATGCGGCTAATTAAAAATTAAGCACGTTTGGCCAACCGCGAACGGCGGCACATGCCGCTAATTGGTCCGTTTTTTTCCGGTAATGGCCAATTAATTATTATTGGTCAGTTCGTTTTCCGCCTTTACAAGAACAAACTCGTTTAAATGCGATTTTTCTAACTTAAATTGTATGCTTTGTCGTCAATTTTAATTACAACGTTTTCTTTGGTCACTTCTTTTATTTCTGTTAAGGTGTTTTATTGTTGGTGTTCTAAGGTTATATTAAATTTCCGTAGGTGCTGATAATTAGAATCTACAATATACATTGAAATTTACTAAAAACCATAGCAGCTGTTAAAATTGCCTTATATCTATCAAAAATAGTAGATAAAATACTACTTTAACCGCAAGGGTAGATTAAGTGATACTTTAACAACGAAGATAGGTTAAAAACTTTCTTTCTTCTCGCACGTTTTTTAACTGCTTCCATTTTTGAAATAGTAGTTTGGATATGGCGTTTCTCGCCTCAACCTTTACTTATTTCGTTTTGAGCCATTTCTGGCTCCAATTCAATCAGCAATCGAACGAAAGAGAATTAAAAAATATTGACTCAAAACTGACAACTAAAGAGACAGCTTTATTTATTTGTCAAATTACATAGAAACCAACGCCAACCCGGCACAATATTTTTTTTCACCGGAATTGGTTTTTAAATGGCACCCTCGGTATTTTTTACTTTATTCGATAGAAAATAACACTCTGAACCGAATGACATATCATATGTCAACTTTTGACATCTTCGCAGATGGTTTATTTGAAATTGTAACGCGGTTCATAACGACAATTTGACTGGACATACCAAATGTGTGGTATCAAATTATTCGTAAAAAATGCTTTTTCCAAATATGCTAATGAGCTACCCTCGTTCCATTTGAAAAAATTGAGATATGATTAAAAATACGATTTGGGCATCTTTTAACCGGCCAGGATTAGACACTAAAAACATTAGACGATCAAATCTATTTTTCCAAGGCTACTTGATAAAATATTAGTGTTTTTAACACAGCCATGGCACTCTAGATCGAAATTTAAAATACAATTTGTTTTTGAGTGATAACATATGTCAAAAGTTGACATATTATGATCTGTCATTCGATTCAGAGTGTCATTTTCTATCGAATAAAGTAAAAAAATACCGAGGGTACCATTTAAAAATCAAAAGTTATAGTCATTTCCGGTGAAACCGGAAGTGACCGAAAACAATTGAATACGTCAATCAATCCCAATTTATGTCATATACTAACATACCAAATCTCGTTGTTTTGTCTAAAAAAATAAAAAAGTTATAGGGGTGAGCCACTTTTGAGACGCATCCGGTATATTTTTTTAGTGTGTAGTTTAAAATTCGAGAAAAAAATATTTTCTGGAAAGATTTGTGTTTCTGGAAACGTTCTATCCTTTTTTGATCTTCCCATAATTAGAATTAATTTTTGACAAGTTTTATGTCAATTTTTAGTAAATGACGTCTAGAGATTGACCTCGTCAAAATTATCATCATTTCCAGCCGTCTTTGACACCGTTTTTTTTCGATCATACCAGAACAAAACCAATTTACTTTCCACCCGGTAGATATTTGATTACATCAATAAATTTATTAACACGATAACCATCACTAACGCTAATTCCGTAATTTATACCTAATCTAGATAAATTCTAATACTAATCCCACACAGACCGAAAATTAAGACCCTCCGAACTGCTGACGTACTGGGTAGGTTTCGCTTTCCCCATTCCAACGTACTTTTGTGCTGGCCTTTTGTATTTGTCTTTATTATATTAAGAGAGCCATTGTGAGAGGGACAAGATCCCTTCAGCCATGGTCCAAAAGCTCCTTTATCCGCCAAAGTGAGTTTTTACGCTTTTCAATCCGATTTCCGTGATAAATAACGAACAGAGACACAAGCATTTTCGGGGCTTTTCAGCTCTTTTTTTTCATTCAGCTGGTATAGTATAGCGAAAAGAGTTTTTTTTTGAAAATCCTATTTTTTCAGTACCGATCGTTTCATTTTATGATTTTTTATGTCCTGTATTATTTGCTCTAACTGTTCCTAGTTCCTACATTACCAATCCGGAAAAAAAGAAAGCAAAATTACAATTATCTGTAAAACTGAGCGAATCAAATCTTGTTTATTTCGTGGAGCTGTTCGTTCCACTTCAATCTTTATTAGTCCCCATATGTTTTCAATGGGACTAAAGTCTGGTGAAGCTGCTGGCTATGAAATTGTTGCCAAATGGTGTTCTTGCATCCAAGCTTGGGTATAGGCAGACGTATGGCATCTTGCATTATCCTGCTGAAAACGCCACCCCTCTGGATATAAAACATGAGCAACCATTATTTTAGTCGGTTTAGGAAATTTTGAAACTTGAAGGTAACATTTTCTTCTGATAGGATTTTTAGGTGGTTTCCACCAAGCTGGTAACAACTTTCGTCCGAAATAAGATCATTATTAAAATTATCTTCTTGAAAACGTTGACAAGAATCCATTCTTCGCTGCCTTTGTAGAGGTGTTATTGCAGCGATTTTTTTTTTGGCTTCCTTTATAGGTAGCCTTGTCTTTTCAGTGACTAGCGGACGGTTTCTGGACATACTTTTAATTTTCGCTGACTTCCAAATCTGTTAGCCAATTTGCGAAACCCTAGGCGCGGATTCTGTCGTCCTAATGCCACTAAAGCATTTAAATTGTTTTCGCGAATCTTACGCGGTCTTCCTGAAACTGGTGCATGCTTCATATCTGTGCCATTTTTTATCCTCTTTATTGTCTCATATACTGCACTTTTTTCGATTTCAGTCATTTGCACTAATTTTTTAACGTTTCGAACACCTTTTTTATACAAATATTTCACCATTTCTCTTTTTTTTACTTGCGACGTTATTTCTCAAATCTTAAGCCGGTTTACAATCAAGAATATTTGACAGATGGTGTTGCCATGCGATTTTGGTCATAGCCTACTATCGGCGCAACCTACGTGATGGATTACTGGTGTCTTAGAGTGTTACAGAAAAAAATACGTTAAAATTAGGAAAAATATAAAATTCCGGATACTTTCTAGACGGACTATAATATTAACTTGAAATGTGAAAAGAATAGACATTCTAATAAATTATTTCCAGTTAATAAGATATTAATATTATATCATGTTCTTTGTAGACCACAGTTCGTAGGCTAAACGCTAAAAATGCCCTAAAATTTTGATGATGAAACTGTTGAAACTAAAATACTTAATTCATAAATAATAAGGTATAATTTTTAGATATGTTGGCAATATAGCCAGTTATAGTATGTCCTCTGGACCACTAAAAAATAATATTCTTGCTTTATCCACAACGAAGTTACAGGGTGTTTAAAAGTGCCATGAGTCGCTTCGAAAAAATGATGATACTTATTAATGATAGTATAAATATTCTTCTGGACTTAACAGGGGCGTAGATAGGTGTATGCTATGGGGGTGGTACTATGATTAAGTCGCAAAAAAAATCACCATCGAAATTTTTTTGTCGAATTAAAACGACGGCGATTTTTTTGTCTTCAAAAAGATATAAAAACATAACACAAAAATTAAAATATAGATTTGTAAATAACATAAACAAAAATGAAACAACGACGTTTATTAGTTAATTTTCTATAAACTATAAATAAAAAACCCTAAAATATCTAAAAAAACTATAAAAACTATAAACTATAAATAAAACTACAAAACAAAATCAAGTTTTCTAGTACGCTGTTTGGAAAACCTATCAATAACAGCATCAACATTTTTTTCAATATCTTTATGGATATTGATTAGAGTTAACCCCACTAATCTGTCCTGGCCAATAAGAACACTTTGTGTGCTTTTAATTAGGTCGAACATATTATAAACGATAAATCAACATAATTAAAAGCATACAAAGTGTTCTTATATGTCGGATATTAATTTTAAAAAATCCTTTCATAGTCAATGACTATTTCAATTCTCGTATCTCGCCAAGCGTCAGGGGGGGGTACTGTCCCCCAGTACCCCCCCCCCCCCTTATCTACGCCCTTGGGACTTAAGAGGACTTTAAAGAGTGAATATTCATGTGAAAAAAAAATTTCTTTACTTATAAAAGAAAATTTCCGATATTAAATTGAATTATTAATAACAGGAAATTTTCATATGTATATTTATCTTTTTAAATGCGCGTATACTAAAATAAATAATTTATTTATCAGTTTTCAAAAGCGTTTGGAAATCTTAACTAAACATATTTACTGGAACTGGAGCTCGTTTAGAAATAAAAATAAATTCGTTAAGAGTATCTGCAAAGAACCATAAAATTTGAATATTACTTTAATTGATGAGCAACGTCCTGTTAGTATAAGAGTTTGTATCTATGTTTAGTCGATTTAATTTGATAAATATCCGAATCTTTATTATTTTAACTTTAAATGATATACACTAAATTTGTATTAATGTTTCTAAAATTTCTTTTTTATTCAACGAAATATTCATACACACACCTCCCCAATTACGCGAAATCGTCACAGATTTAAGCTAAAAATAAACCCCGTCATCTATTTTACATTTCACACCACCGCCGCTGTCAAACGTAATAAACGGGTAAAGAACTATCAAAAAGACGATATGCGCGCTCACGCGCCATCTTCAGGCGGCGCCCAACACTAAGCAGCCGACAAAGCGTCGGATAGAGCCTAAGTGGCCGCATAGAGCAGCTCTAAGGGCCTAAAGGCCGGTATAGAGTGGCTCTAAGAGGCTGCCGAGGACTCCGTCGACTCTTCTGTTTAATCAATGCCACGGTAATTAGAAGGATTGCTTTGTCGGCAACTCGCGTATGAGGGATGGTAAATAGAGCTGAAAGAGTTTGATAGAGCTAGAGATTAGTTTCAGCGAATTTAGAAATGTTTAATTCGGAAAAACTTGAAATACACTAAGTTTGCGTGGTCGACCTTACATATCTATTTTGTTCCCCTTTCTTGAGTTATAACTCATCATACAGTCCCAAGGCTTTAACAAAAGCCTGTCTCTGAGACGGTTATACAGAGGTTAGTTCGCCATCTCCGATATCAATCGTACCAGCGTTTTTCTGGTTAATAAACCAAAAACTTTATTTCTTGTTTGCGTTAAGTGCACAGAAAAAGCGACAGAAAAAATGATATTGAAATTTTTCTTTAATCAATAAAATTCTCACGAACAATAACTTAAACGTAAATAATTAACAAAAAAAGAATCACTTAATTTTGCTCATCGCTTCTATAGAGTATATATCTAGCTCACCCCTATTTCTATGAACCCCTAAACATAGTTCGACCGGCCACCCCACCCCTAGCTCTATTTTTACCCTATTTCACCCTCTCCCACCCCCTGCTCATCCACGTGTCATCGTAGTCTACATCACCGCCGTCCCCAAAAACTAGGCATGTCTATATTTTAGAAACATCGATATCTTACGTACCGATATTAAAAAATATAGCTATCCCATCAATAGGCGTAGTAAAAACATTTATCAAAAAATATAAATATTTCTTCAAAGAGCTAGGTTAAGAAAAATATGTGCCACGGCACTGTTTGGTGACATCGTCACAATTTGCTCTCGGGAGTTATTTGTCCTTGGATTCTTTAGTCATTGGTATTTTGAGATTATTTATCGATATATTTCACCATCCCTAATCAAAACACGCAACCGGAGCTCACTGAGCAGCACGAGAATCAGCCGGACGACGCACGAATCCGTCGCTCGTCCCGTACGTACACCATCGGTCTTCTTCAAAAGCTTTTCACCGACCGGCCCAAGCAAATCGCCTATCATATCACTCCATATTCTCTCTCTCTGTCTCTTTGCCGGCTTTGCCTGTCACTTATTGCCGAAATGCCACCTATATCGCCGCCGCGGAACGCCGACAGCAGTCGGAGCAACAGCGTTTCCGGTAAAAGCTCCGGGTACTGAGATACTCCGGGTAAAACTACCCGGAAGAAATATATTTTCGAAAAAAAATATATTTGTTTTTTTTTCGAGTAAAATTGATCGAAAAAAATATGGACTCGGACGTTACTATTCCGATTGGTTGTTTGATCGAGATCTTGCTAAAATAGTTGGTTGTATACGCTTAAAGTGACCGTTGTGGTTTAAGTATGGTGTTGTTGTCCGGACTTCACGCTAGATCAGTATTTTTTGTAGTTTTGTTCGTTTTTCGGTAAGTTTTTTTAATTATTTTTTTTATAATCTTTTTATTATTTCGTAAATTTGATGATTAAAACGAGCTTTTTGTATTTTACGATTATTCAATTTAATTATATACAATTTTTTTAATAATTTTTTAACTTTTACTTTTTTTTTTGTTTTCTATCTTATTTTTAATCACTTCAAATACTTATAAAATTATGTAGTTTTTTTTTAGTTCTTTTAAATTCTTTATTAGAAACCCTCTTTTGTGAACTTCACGCTAAATCGGTATTTTTTGTAGTTTTGTCCGTTTATCCGGTAAGTTTTTTAATATTTCTTTTACAATCTTTTGTTTTATTTCGTAAATTTGATGATTAAAAAGAGCTGTGTGTATTTAACCTTTATTTAATTTAATCATATACAATTCTTTTAATAATTTTTAAACTTTTACATTTTTAATTTTTTTATGTTTTCGTTCTTATTTATACTTACTTCGCTATACTATACTTCAAATACTTATAAAACTACGTTGGTTTTTGTCTAGTTTTTTTTTTAATTTTTTATTAGAAAGCCTCTTATGTGAACTTCAAGATAGAACGTTATTTTTTGTAATTTTTTTGGTTTTTAGGTAGTTTTATTTTATTTTCAGTAATCTACAGTTTTATTTCATAATAAGTTTATGTTTAATTGTTTTTGAAAGTAAATATTACCTGTATTTAAATTTATTTTTAATTAATTTAATAATCTTACTCTTTTAGTATTTTTAAAATTTATTTTTGTTATATTTTATGTTTTTCTTTATTTTTATGTTTCCTAGCTTTTTTATATTTTTTTCTATTTGTACTTTTTAATTACCTACCCCAAAACCTTATAAATTAGGTACTTTAGAGGAATTTTTATATTCTTAATATCCTTTATATTTATTTTAAAAAATCAATGCTAATTGTTACTATTTTCAAAAAAATTTGCTTCAAGTGGGTAAATATTTTCTGTATCGTGTCTTTTTTCTCGTTTTCCAACTTTTTTTTTATTTTTTATATTTTTTTTACCTTTAATTTACTTCGTTAATTTATAGTTATTATTCTATTAATATTCTTAGTATCCTTTTTATTTTTATTTAAAAAATCCATGTTTATTGTTACTATTTTCCAAAAAATTTGTTACAAGTTGTTAAATATTTTCTATCGCGGTTTATTTACTAAAATATTTTTTTTGTTATTTTATATTTTTTCTTTTTGAGCTTTTTCAATTTATTTTTAAACGCTTAAAAATTTAAAATTAAGTTCTTTTTTCTCGGTTTATGTAATGAATTTTTTAGTAAAATTTACTAAAATTGGTATATTTATATTGTCTGAAGTTCAAAGCAGATCAATATTTCTGTAGTTTGGTTATTTTTTGGTATGTTTTATATTTTTAAATATTCCTTTAGGTTTATTTAAAAAATTATATTATATATATATATATTATATTATATTACTTATAATAATTATTAAAATTTTATTCTAGTTTTTCTTTATTTTTTTCACTTCAAAAAATTATTTTTTTTAGAATTTTTACAATACTGTTTTCTAAAGAATTAATAAAAATTAAAGTAACAAATAAATCAAACAGCAATAAATTTTTTTTGTACATATTGAAGTGTAGTTAAGTTTTTTTTAATAATTTAAATATTTATTAATTATATTATATAAATATAAATTAATTTAATTAATTAAAATAGCAAAAATATTCGGAATGATATTATTTTATAAAAATGTAAGTTTATTAATTTTTAGTTCATTAATTTTTTCTGAAAGCGATTGCTGTTTAATAATTTCAATTAATTACTTTTATTATCTAGTTTTGCATCTTAATTACATGTTTAACTACTTTTAGAATTACGAATGTACTACTTTCTTACCAAGATAATATACCTATATTTTAAATTATTAATTTTCTCAATCTATGTTCATTCTGCGTTTAAGATTTTTTACTATTATGAGTTTATTAGATGTTTCCTTTATTTTCTATTTATATTTTTTAATTAATGTTTTATTTTGTATATATAAAAAGTTGTTCAATACATAGTGAAATAATATAAAAAAAAGCAAAAAAAAATTTGCCATTAATTTATTGAAAATATTTTTTGGAGAAATAATTTAATGCTCTATCTGTTCCTTAAACCAATATTATTGTAAAGAGGCTCTGTTAACATTCTTTTAAAGCTGTAAAAATTGACTCACAAAATTATCTTGATGAAACGTCAGCTAGAAACATCATTTTTACTGTATTTCTATTAGTTTTAGTAATATTATGTCTTTCGTATATGTACATAAATACAAGGGTGAAAATATTGCTTTTTCAGTAAGTGCAAGAGAGATTTATTTTATAAGTGTTTTGTATTGTGATGAACTATTATAGTGTTTTATTTTGCTATATGAAAATGTCCGTCAAAGAGGTCAAATTTTACGCTACAGACACAATAAAATAGTCTGTCTGTCCTATAGTAATTATCTAAACAAATAACGGATAATCATCTAGTAAGTTATATGGCCGAAGTTGTTATCTGGAACAATGTATGTACATTTAATTAGGGAATCACACCCCTTTGCATGTCCGCGCGACAGAAGGGTGCGTGACTTAAAAAGGGTGATTTTTTTTCAGTAATTTACTAGATAAGATTTCTGAGGAATCTAAAGGAAATCGATAGGTTGGCTAGAACCAACTTTTAATAAAAAATGAACAGAATATACCGGGTATCCCATTAAAAAGAAATCTCAGCTGTATATCGGGAAAGTGTAAGCAGTAGAGCCTGCGGAAAATATGTTTATAGCTAAAGGTACGATGAGAAATTGCTGGAAATTGCTTTCAAGCTCCTAGCTGGAGGAAAAAGAAATTAATTTTTAGAAAATGTTGCCAATAGTAACATTTTTTGTATAGAAATCTACTTCTATATAAGTAACAAGCGTGTACCCGCGACTTCGTTTACGTCGAATTAATCATTTGTAATGGTGATGATAAAGCAAAGCAAGAATTTCCATTAACATACAAACTGGATAAAATTTTCTCACATTTATGTCAGCATGAGAAAAACAATATGGCGATATTATTATATAACTTGGTAATATTTGAGGGGTAGTTTCATCTCGTTGGAATTTGACTTTCGAAAAATCCGTTTGCCAAAAATAAGCTTTTTACGTCAAGCAGTTTAAGCAGAATCGTGGTTAATCAATTACCCAACTTTTTGGAACACCCTGAATGATTTTTTAAAAAATTTCAAAATATGTAAAAAACCAAATAAATTATGCTTGTCCAAGCGTTTTCCCGAAAAACTAACAGTTTTTTAAATAACAAATATTGGAATATTTGGGGGTCGTTTTCACCCTCTTGGAATTTGAGATTCGACCCCACCGTCAATCCGTTTACCAAAAATCAGCTTTAAGCGTGAAGCAGTTTAAGCAGAGTCGTGATTACTCAATGGTAATATTTTATAAAACACCCTGTATACATTTTTAAAAAATCTTAAAATATGTAAAACAACAAAATAAAATATACGTGTTTAAGAGTTTTTCCGAAAAACTCAGAGAAAATGTTTAAAAAAAATAAATCTAACAAAAATAAAATATAATAAAAAAATTAAAAAGACACTCCAAAATAGCAGGATTAAAACAGAAATATTTATAAGATATAAAATTTTAAACGTTAGAAAGCAATAATCTCTCTTAATCAAGCAAACTCAACCTTTAATTATATTTTTGTAATTAACAATAAAATCCTTTGACATTTCTTTGAGACAATCGTTGAGATAAATCGAGAAATCGAGAAAAAGCTATTAAGGTTCCGTGTGTGGTTTGCGTTTTATGTCAACTCAGGATACAACGTATCCCCCCAAAAGGATTTACGAGACAATAAAATAAAATTGATTACTATTATTAAAAATAAAGAAAAATGTTGATAAACAGTTAATATAATTAACTTTTATCACCTTCTATCTTGTACAACTAATTTCAAAATTAAAAACAACAAAATCCCGTTTAGATGATCACTTTCCTAAAATGCTTTTGTTTGAATCTTTGAATATTATGATGTTGGACACAATTGTCTCGAGCTGAAACCAAAAAAAAAACTATGTCAAAAAGGTCCTTGTCCTTTGACATTGCGTGTAGAACATCACGATTAAAGACAAAACAAAGACCTGAGCAATATTTTGAGCTGGTTAAATGGGCTGTAACGACATAGCCACTGACACATTTAAAATGTATGTGAAATGGAATTTTATGAGCATCCCAGGCATAAAGAGGAAAGTACGTAAAGGAAGATTTGCACTGTATCACTTTTAAAAAATGTCTAGACCTTTGTGGCTGATTCATCTCATCAAACAACGCTTTCTTGTACAAAAAGCCAAAACAGCATCATCGACAAAGCACTCACAAACAACAAAATCACAAAAAAATACAAACAACAAAAAATACACAATACAAATAATACAATTCAAAAAAATTTAAGTCTTTAAAATTACAAAAAGAATATACATGGACAATTTTAGAACAGTACGCAGTAAATAGATATAATTTTAGAGTTATAAAATATTAAATACTTGATCTTTGACCAGTGTGATGATCAAAGTGGGAGATTTGATTGATTGATTTGAGAGATGATCAAAATTTTTAAATTCAAAATTGTTCATGATTAAACATCAACAAAAAAGTCGTTTACCTCATATAGGGCTCTCTCCAGTAAGTATGATTTCAGAGCTTTGCGAAATGCGGGAAAGAATGAAAGCGACTTGATATTCAAAGGCAGATGATTGTACATTTTTTTTGGCATTGTACAGTATTGACCCTTTAACTAGTTCTGAGCTCGGGGTTGGCAGATAAAGATCGTGCTCCGTATTCCTCAGTGGATAGTTGTGAGATTTTGTTGTTTCGGGAATAGCAGATATGTGTTTGCCGATTAAGCAAACGGATTCAAATATGAAAAAAAGGAACAGTCAGTATTTTGAAATTTTTAAAGAAATTCTGGCAGTGCATTCTACTGTTCAGTTCCAATAAATATCGAACTGCTCTGTTTTGAAGTTTGAAAATACGATCAATACAAATTTTGTTGAGCAGCAAGTTCCCCAGAATGGAAGGGCATAACGAAGATGTGACTCAAAAAGGGCATAATAGGCTATTTTAGAGGTTGAAAAGTTAAGTTCCTTAGAAACTGATCTTAGCGCAAAACAGGCAGAGCTTAGTTTCTTTGATAAATCTTTGATACGCAAGTCCCATTTTAACGAGTTACAAGTCCTAAGAATTTCACAGAGTCCACGACGTCAATAGTGGTGTTATTAAGTACAAAAGGTTGTGTAGTAGTTTTATATGACAAAACTTTAGTTTTTGATAGGTTGAGGCATAGGAGATTAGAATCGCACCAAAATTTAATAGTGCATAAGTCACTGGATATAGTAACATATAGTGCCGTAATATCTGGGCCGCTCCAAGTGAAACTAGTATCGTCCCCAAAGAGGCAGATTTTACCGCTAATGTCTAGATTGGCAATGTCGTTGATAAACACCAGAAACAAAATAGGGCCAAAGTACTGAACCCTGAGGGACACCACATTCTATAAGCTTACAAAAAACATAGACGTATCAATCCTCACAAGCTACCTTCTGTTGCCAAGATATGACTTAAGCCATTCGAGCGGCACTCCCCTGAATCCATAGTATTGCAATTTGTCAATTAAGCTATTATGATTTACACAGTCGAAAGCCTTAGAGAAATCACAGAAAATTGTAGCTGTAGAATGATGGTTATTCAAGCTAGAGTATACATTATTAAAAAGGTCGAACATAGCATCATTTGTGCAACTGTTACTTAGAAATCCAAATTGATGGGTAGTAAGTACTTTACACTTAAGGAGAAAAGATAGAAGTCTTTTCTTAACCAATATTTCAACTTAGATAATGTGGGCAGGAGTGCAATTGGGCGGTAGTTTGAAGCTTGATATTTATCTCCTCCTTTAAACAAAATAAAATAGTTATTTTTTGTAAACACTGCTTTGTTAATCCAACGCAGACCAGCTTGTCAACAATAATTTATAATAAACAAATTTGCCTAAAGGACAAAAAAAAATGCTTAGCGTTTCGGGAAGTATATCTCTTCCCGTCGTCGGAAGCAAAAAAAACAAAGAACAAAGAAAAAAACTATTTAAAATATCTAAATACAACTATTCAAGAACACATTATTTTTTTTCAACAGATATGCCTGTAAAAACCTTTAACGTTCTGTTAAAATTTAATTAATATTCTATTATTTTTTTTTATTTTTTTACTTTGTCTACATTTTTAACTTTCATCTTGATTTCTTTCGTATGTATAATATCTAGAAGAAGAATTATACTTAAAGATACCTCGAGCTTAATCAAATTCTGAGAATACCTCGTTTACCAAAAGAAACGTTTAGTTCAGAGCTTAATCTTAATCTCTATCTTTACTAACATTTATTTTGAGCTAATTTCTCACATTAAAAAGGTTCTATATCGTCTAATTACATGAGAGGCCTAAATGATTTGTCGACTATGTTCTGATAAAATATGTTCCCAAGAATGACATTCTGTTTTTTTTTCTTTTTGTGTACATCGTAGGTAGTTTATTTTCCTTTTAGGTAGATGTCATTCTTCTAAACAGAATGTTGAAATAATTAAGATGTCTTTAAAACAGACATTACAGAGAGATCTTTATCTTAGAAGACCTTTTTATGTGATGCTAGAAAGAAAAAAATATTATAAAATTGAGTAATAATATGTAACAAAAATACCATTGTCCAGATGGATATATACACAATAGAGGACACAGAGATGTGTACCCTCATCCTCTATTTATATTTGATGCCAATTAAACTTTTAATTAGGTAATCGAGGGCGCAATTTTTAAATTCATTGTTACCAATCATGGACATATTCGGCGCCGGGCTGACTAACTGGAATTTCAATTTCCCGTTGGGGATTTAGGTGGTAGCCCTGCTGTAAAAAATGTCAAGTTGCCGCATTTGTTTATTTATTTCCTGACATTGTCATTCGTTTTGACACTTTAGTTTACTTAACTTAACTTACCTACTTAACTCCGTTATTTTGGACTTATTTGAAAAGCGATAAAGAGAAAATATGTTTCTTTTATCGAGATCTGCCACCCCTTAAAATACTTGCACTTATTTCTGGAACACCCTGTATAATAATAAACATAAGTCTTCGAAAATTGTAAAAAAATTGTGGGCGAAAATTTTTCGACTGACTCAACTTCAAAAATTCTGTCTAAAACTTTGGCGTTAATGTATCTAAAGATAACAGTTAATTTTGACATTTGATATATGTTGATATGCACCTACTATGATTCTATATGCAAAATGTAAAACACAACCCTCGAATTTTTCACAATTTTTTTTTATCTTAGACATTGTGAGTAATTATTGACTGTTCTTTTCTTATTTCCAGATTTACATCGCAAAAAATTTCGTCCTTTCAATCAAACAATTTGAGAAACCAAGTCAGCATATTCGATACTCCATACATCGACACAGCATACTGCAGAAGTATTCCAGGACTGACCAGACGACAAATTGAACTTTGCTATCAACAACCTGATTCGACAATGGTCGTATTAGAAGGTAACAAAAACATTTTTCCTATTTTTTTTTAATATTTATAATAATTTTTTGAAAATTATTTTTGTAGGTTTGAATATAGCTGTAAAAGAATGCCAGTACCAATTTCAGTCTGATCGATGGAATTGTTCTTCGCTTAGTACAAAAGGAAAAAATCCGTATATTAGTACAATGCTACAGAAAGGTAAGTTTTTTAAACTTAATTTTTACATAAATGAAAGTATTTATACTCCAAAAAATCATGCCTATGTGCCTCTTATTCGCCAAAAATTTTCTTGATAATTTCCGCGAAATTTAACATACAGAACGTATACCAATCACAATATAGATACCGTATGATATGATATAAAAAAACGGCGTCAAAGACGACTGGGGAATGACATACAATGATCATTTTAGCAAGGTTAATCTGTAGACGTCAGATACTAAAAATTGACATAAGTTGCCAAAAATTAACACTAATTATAGAAAGGTTAGAGGATAGAAAGAGGATAGAACGATTTCAGACACATAAATCTATTCCAAAAAAAATATTTTTTTTCGAATTTTAAACTATACACCATTTAAAAATAATTTTAGTCAATACAGGCCAACTGACAGTAAGCACCAAAAAATAAAGAAGAGCATAGGCCAAGAAAATGACGTCTAGGGCTTGACCTCGCCAAAATTATCACCGATTGACATTCCCCAGCCTACTCAGACGCCGTTTTTTTTCAATCGTATGAAATTTTCACACGAGAAATTCTAAAAAACCATTTTCCTGTATCGATATTTTCCCAAGTTGAGAAAACCAGAGGCGATCTAAAAATATGAATGAATCGGTTCATTAAAAGAAAAACGACTGCTTCAAAGTAAAATTAGCGTTGGACAAATAAAAAATTAAAACGTATTGATGTCTCTAGTTAGTGTTAATTTTAAACACCTAATAAGCAAGCCGGAGCTTTTAACGCTGAATAACTTAACATCGGTAATTTACGGGCGCTTTCGTCATTTTTATTGTTGTTTATTGGTTCTGGAGGAATATAAAACGGCTTCTTATACGCTCGCTCGAAATGCATGCATTGTACTACATCGTTTTTTTTTCTTAAACACTTTTTTTCAACTTTAATCAAATAATGTATAAATGACACAGCGTAAATCCGTGTATAATAAGATAAAATATGTATTTTATAAACTATACAGGGTGAGTCTTGTACAGGGTGGCGCACCTCATTCACCTCGGTTGATTATACGAATACTTTTTTCACTGAAAAGGTATTTTTTGATTTATCAGCAGTCATTGTCAAGTTGACAATACACAAGGTGATTTCGAATTAGTCTAAAAAAATTATGGTGTGATTCCTCATGTGTTCTTAAAACAATTTTTATATAACCATTGGGTCTAAAGTACTTCCTTTCTGATCTACAGGGTGTTAAAAATTTAAAAAAATTGATTTTTTTGCTTAACATAAATGGTACACCACTGCTTTTTTAAAGAAAATATATTTTTTTCTTGACTGGCCATCCTTTTTCAACAAAATTGATCTTTTGAGTTTTTCTTGTTCATCAAACGGTTGCCGAGAAAAAAATAAATATACTTATTAAGAGCCCGCCTTAATTCGTTTTCTAACCATTTTTTATTTTTTAGATTAATTAGGAAACACCCTGTATATGCATATCACAGGCAACCAAATAAACTAGTAACCTCTAAAAATTATTTTTCCTACCACTAGCGACATACCGTGTTTTTAGTGTGTACTAAATTATTTTATCAAAATTTCACCATATAAGTTTCCAGGCAATGATTTTAATTATCTTTCAAAACGTCAAATATTTTTTAATGTGTCACTTTAAGAAAATTCATTAATCCGTCTTATAATTACACGTACACGTTACAGTTTGTCTTAGTCTTTAATTGAAATCCACGAACCATTATATACCTAAGGGCATACGGTAGCGTATAAAATTACATAATACCAAATACAGGCTAGAATTAGCTGTTATATAGTAATTTTCTGTGATAAACAAGAAAATTTTACGCACAAATAAAAAAAATTTCTTCTATTTTATTTAAATTGAGGACATTTCTTAACGAGACCGCGTTAAATACCACAATTTAAGAGTTCTATAACATTCTACAACATATACAAAATCGATTCTGTATCGCAATCTAGGTACGATGTAATTAAAATGGTGTCTTTGACATTTAAATACAAAGCACAGCTAATGAACGATCGAGTGTGATATATAAACTAATTGTTCTCATTATTCGCCAAGAAATGTACTCTGATATGGTGGTGTTCTAGAAGAATAACATTTATTGTGGTAATTATTCTAAATACTTCAAAACTTGGGTAAATGTAGTAGGTATAGAAATATTTTTTGAGTTGCGAAAGAGAAAAGCTATATAGACTAGGCAATATGCATTGATTTGTTTTGTCCCAACATATACAAGCAAAATTAAAACAAACTCTGTATTTATTTATTGATTGACTGATTTGACCACAGTCTTAATATAATCTTTTTTTTCAAGATTTGACAGTAACCAAACCATAAACTGTGCTCTGGGTTCTACAGTTTCACTCGATTTTTCCTCCACTTGACTTCAAAAGACACAAAACACACGTAATAACACGAATCAAAATGCATCATCTTCCAAAACGCAGGGTATTTGACAAAAGTTGTCACAAAATTATAACCTATAATTTGGCAAGACTTTGACAAACGTCAAAAATCTAAAGGCGAGTTCATACGCATCGGCGTCGGTTTGTCGTTTATCGTTCCGTCAAACTAATAAAATTGAAATACGATATGTCATTTTTGAAATAAACCAATAAAACTGGTTAAAAACAATAAGTGACAACGCATGACGAATTTATGTTTAAACCTTTGAATAAGAAGACTAAGGAAGGAGCATATCAAAAATCTTAGGTACACCGCGATGGGCCTCAAATATGGCCGACTTAAATTCCGGTTTATCAGTGTCGTTCTAATTTTATTTAAAAAATGTAAAACTATGATGTAGGGTAGACGTGGGGTAGACTCAATAATTTGTTGTTTTATTTTACGTTGTGAATAAATGTTGGTAGTTATTAAAATTGTTATAAAAATATATAATTCTAATAAAAATAGATAAGTTATAATAAGTATTTATTAACACAAACATCCGATACGCTACTGAAGCAGGTAAGTCAAATTAACGTATCTAAATTCTTTGACATCTAATCTTTGACAAGTAATAAATAAAAGCTAAAATGCAAGAAAAAATATATAATTTAGTTAATTTAAGTGAATTTCATAAATGTTCGGTTTACTACACGTATGTATATTATATTGTCACTTACTAGCGAAAAATTGTTCCATTATTTCACTCAATTTTTGCCGAGATCTACCGCACGCTACACAACCAACTATTTTAGAGTCTTTTTCGATAAATCGCGATAGTGTCACTGTTAATTTAAGTTCTGCCACAATTTCCATCTAGATTTACTACCTTTATACAACTATCAGTAGTAGAATAAATAATAAATAACATAAAATAAGCTCCGTAAAGACTGACAAATCCACAAAATTTCAAATCAAATTCAAATGTGTCAAATGAATCGTCAAACAGAACTGTCAAGGATCCCCACCCTAGAGAGCTTTTATGGTGGCTTTTCCGCCCACCATGCATGAATACATGGATAGCATTATGCTCCTTCCTTAGTCTTCTTATTCAAAGGTTTAAACCCATCCATAGTTAACTTAAAAATTATTAGAAACTTTTTTTAGTAAAATAAATAGATTGGTATGGGACGTCATCTGCTTTTCTTCTGTCATCGTCTGTCGAAATCTTACCTGAGAAAAAAAACAGAGTATATATAATAATATCGCCATATTGATTTTTCTCATGCTGACATAAATGTGAGAAAATTTTATCCAGTTTGTATCTTAATGGAATTGTTGGTTTGCTTTATCATCACCATTACAAATGATTAATTCGACGCGAACGAAGTCGCGGGTACACGCTAGTAAAATAAAATTTCTTAACCCGATTTCTATAGAATCATGTTGGTGGTCCTATACTGACATCTCCGAAGTGTAACGTTCTCATTTTTTATGCATCTTAGCCTTCAAAAAAACCCTAAATAAGTCGACTTTAACTACCGGGTTCGAGGGTACACAACCTCCGAGGTTTAAATCTTTGGTTTAATGGGCCATTGACAGTCGATTGGTGCCTTGCGCGCCGTTTTTTTGCCCGTTGTCGCCGATTGGCGCGCCTGAATCTAAATTGCGCTCGAAATCGCGGACGCTTCGCCGTTTAAATGGGCACCGTTCGCCGGAACGATATCGTTTCTGAGTTGTCCGCGTCCGCTGACATGGACATCGCCGGCCGCCGCGACCACCGGCCGGCACAGATTGAAGAAATAAACGCTCCCATCGGAATCGGACAAGATGACCGTTTTTTTCCGTTCGGGTTGTTTTACCACTAATGAGTGAGGCATTTTAACGTAGATTTGAGTATTTTGAAGTAAATATAAGAGAAATAAGATGCAAATACATTTTGGTTTTACCTCATTTGGTCACTGTTATTAGGTATAGTAATAAGACTAAGGACCGAGAAAAATTAAAAATTTTCTTGATTCAAATAAGAACAAGGCTGATATCTTTTCTGTTTAAGTACAAAATACTTACTGAATATCAATTTGGATTTCTAAGCAACAAGTCCACAAATGACACTATGTTTTCCCTCCTTAATAAAGTTTACTCCAGCCTAAACAACCATCACTCTACAGCAACAATTTTCTATGATTTTTCTAAGGCGTTTGATTATGTAAATCATAAGATCTTAATTAATAAACTGCAGCACTATGGGTTCAGGGGATCATCTCTCGAATGGTTTAAGTCGTATCTGAGCAACAGAAGTCAACTTGTGAGGGTGGATACCACGTTGTCTTCTAGCAAGCCAATAGAATGTGGAGTACCACAAGGCTCAGTACTAGGCCCTATTTTGTTTCTTCTTTTTATTAACGACATTGCTAACATAAACATCAATGGCAAAATATGTCTTTTTGCGGACGACACTAGCTTCACTTGGAGCAACAAGGACATCACGGCACTTCATAGGATTATATCAAATGACTTAATCACCATTAAATCTTTCGAACCTCCTGAGTCTCAACATTTCTAAAACTAAAGCTTTGTCGTATAAAAACTCGTTGCAGC